CAATTCAAGTGTTGGAAAATCTGTTTAGGCTTTGTGTTTTTGACTTTGGAGGCAGTTGGGAAGATCACCTTCCAATTCCAATGATTGATTTTGCCTGTAACAGTATCGATCAATCCATTATCAAAATAGATTCTTATGAAGCACTGTTTGGCAGAAAGTGTAGAACTCCACTCAGTTGGGTTGAAGTGAGTGAACGCCAAATGTTGGGTTTAGAGCTAGTTGACGAAGCTACAAAGAAAATCAGATTAATCAGAGAGATTGAAGGCTGCTCAGGATTGAAAACATAAATACCACAACCCAAGGCACAAAGCAGTTGAATTTGAAGTTGGAGATTTCTTATTTTTGAGATTCAGACCAATGAAACGTATGGCTTGATTTGGTCAGAGAAGTAAGCTGAGCCACAGGTATACTGGTCATTTTGAAATTATAGAAAAAAATTGGTCCAATTGCCTACAAATTAGCATTATTTGTAGATATATCAAATATATATGATGTGTTTCACATTTTAATGTTAACGTTTCAAATTCAGAGCAGAGAATTTCACATTAAGATATTGAAGTTCAGAAAAGTCACATATATTGAAGAGTCTGAGAGGATTATAGCTACTTATATTAATTAGTACATAAACAAACATTTTTTTTTGTGAAGATAAAGTGAAAGCACTGACCTGAAAAGGATGCAAATTGGGAAAAAGAAGAAAACATGCCATAGAAATATCTCTTTCTATTCCAATAAAATTAGTAATTTCAAGGATGAAATTTTTATGAGCGGAGAGCTGTAACACCCAAATTTCATCATATCAGGTAAGGTTTGGCGCAATTGAAATGAACCTAAAATTTTTGTCTCTCGGAATTTGATCCCAATGATATTATGAAATTCTATGCATGAAATCAATTAAATCGATATGAAGTACTGTATGTAAATTGTGAATGGATTGGGAGATATAAATTGTTGAAGTTATAATATACAAGATGCATGTTGTGTCCGTCGGTATGAAATAATTTTTCCTATTCTAGACTTTCATTTCCTTCCCCCTTGCTTCTATTTTTTATATGTGCCTGGATTTTGTGCGCTTTTTTATTTCCGATAACCGTCGCCAAGCTTTTGTTGGAAGTGTAAAGAATGGTTTGTGAGCTTTCGTACAAGCTTTAGCACGAAATCAATGAAAGGAGAAGTGAATTTTGAGGTGTTAGGAAAAGTTGTGGAGTAACCTAGGACGTATCAAAGCATCAAATTTATGTGGAGAAGCTCATTTAAGGTATGTTTTGGGCAAATAAATTATGTTTTCAGTTAAATCATGAAATGAGCTATAACTTCATGAATCCCTATGATGTCTATAGATTTCTCGACACAAGCGTAAGTAAACTCGTCGAAGGGTTGCTCTGAAAGTTAGGTGAAATAATTTTATACAAATTTAAGAAAAATAATTTCCTATAAGTTCTATGTGATTATGTATTCCACATTGTTGCATTTTGTGATAAATGAATTTCGAAAATAAATAAATAAATAAATAATAAAATAAAACAGGTGTCTGTTAGGAGAGACAAATCTATTCGCAGGGATTAAACCGCACACTTCCAACCCTAATTCGACCATTTAACGAACAGAGAAGGGGGAGGAACGTGAGTGAAGAGAAAAGGAGGAGCAATAAGAAGAGCAGGATAACAGAAGGAGAAAGTGTGCGGCTCTGTCGAGGGGTAAGGCTGACGTTAAGGGTAAACCTCGTGCGTGCGTGTGAGGAAGCTGAAAACGTGAAACCTAGCCTGAGGAGGAAGCAGTGTCTTGGCGGAGTAGAGAGTTGGGTCGCGTCGAGGTTGAAGAAGATGGAAGAAGCGTGCGTTGCTCTATCGAGATCGAACCGCATCGAAGGGAAAACAAAAAGCCCTAATCGAAGAAGAAGAAGAGTAGAGAGAAAGAGGAAAGGGAGAACCACCCAGAGCAGCAAGTCTTTGGGGTTGTCACGAGATCGCAGCCGAAAAGGTACGTTCAGTATGCTTACCATGAATCAATTAAAATCCTTCCCTACCACAATTCCATGTCAGTGGGCCCGATTTTATTTTATTTTATTTTTAAAAATTTCTCATTGGACAGTGCGTCCGCTGTTCACATGGAATAATGGCTCCGATCTCCTCCGATCAGAGGGAGAGAAGCCCCAAAGCTGTCAAGCCGGGCACGGGAGCCTATCCTAGGTGTGTGACGACCCTCATTCAAGTTTTAGGGTTAGCCGAAGTTATATTAGGTAAGTTAAGATTTCAAATAAATTGAGTAAGAAAATTATATGTGTATATATTTATTAAATTAATGCTAATTGAGTTTGATTTTTTTATTAAAATTGAGCAATTAAATCTTGAATTTAAGGGAGCATTGTGATGCAAACTTTCTGTACGGGAGAAAATGAAGAATCGCAAGCGTGAATTGGAGAATTGAAACCCATTCAAATACTATTTTGCAAGTTAAAGGTAAACTTTCGTGTTGAATCTCTTATTACAATTTTTATATACATTAAACTATATATATTTATTATGTTAATATAAAATTAGGCGAATTGAGGTCAAGAAGACTAACAAACAAGTTAAGTGGAAGATTAAGCTAATAAAAAAACCTCCTAATAATTGAGGTGAGTAATTATATTTTTTAAATTTTAGTAATTATTTCTTCTTCAAATTGTATGTTTGATTTCATACGTTCTCTAATCTTCATATTGTCAAACATAATTTATTTTACATTGATATCAAATCATTGTATGACTTTAGTAGAGATATACATATTAGTTTATTGTATTATCACATATGTGTCAGATTGTTATTTAACCTCTATAATTTTAATAAATGTGCATATGTTGATTGATTTCATGACTTATAGATATAGTAAGTACACACTATTCATCAGTAGATAGAGTTAAATGTTTCACATAAGAGAATGCATAATATAAAAGAATGAAATAACTTATATAAGAATGTTTGTATGTGCATGTTCAGAGAAGTTCACCCCCTAATGTTATAGACAGGGGACATCAGTGTACCCACGTACGTAGAGATTTTTCTACCACCCCAGACAATTATGATAGTTAGTTTACTAACCACTAGATAGATTGGATAATATCAGTCAGAGGCAAGTAGACCAGAGCTTATCTCCCCAAACAATTGTGAGGTTTACATTGCTAAACGTTGTTCTGACAGGATAATATCAGTCAGGGGCAGGTAAGGGCATTTCCATCTTATATAATTGCGATGTGTAGATCGTTAACCGCTGTGCCGACAGGAGCCGGCTGGATAATATCGACTGAGAGTGTGTTAGGTTTTATTGGCAATGATCCTCAAAACAGACATATGTGTATGTAAAGCGTATAAAGTAAAAGTAAAGTTAAAGTTAATGCATATATAAATTTAAAGTATTTTCATTTAGAAAAGTTCATTGCTACATGCATTAATATATTCAAAAATTTCATATGAAAGATTAACATAGTAAAAAATTTCATATAAAGATATAAAAGATTAGGATAAATATTGATTTTTTTTTTTGTATTACTGTAGTTTAGAAGTGCAATTATTCATGTTGTATCTTTAGATAACTTATTATGTTGTTTTAACAGTCTTCAGGTTTTTAAACTTTTGATTAAGAAAAATAAAAGAAGAGGAGATATTGTGTACAAGAGACAGAACAACAAACGAAAATATATAAATATTTTTTTTTTGTTAATTTTAATTTCTTTCTTTAGTGACTCTTTCATAAATGTTTGAATGTTAAACTATTAGAGATAAAAATAGAATATAAGAGAATTGATATTTACCGTTTGATCGTTCGTTCTCGTCTTCGTTAATTCTAAGTCCCGGGTCAGGTCGTGACACACTTAGACATCTTGCATATTATAGATAAATACCTGCTTGGAATGTATGAATGTCAGTTCATTTCTATTACGATACATATGATGCTTCTATATTATTATACAGATGAAATGCATATAAAATTAATTACTTGCAGGTATTCATTTTATTATGATTCATGCCTATGATATATTAAATGTCTGATTGCAGGAAATGTCTATTAATGTTTGCTACAAGTATTATGTTAAGAAATATCTTAAGGAATGTTGTGGGTAAACTATAACACGAGTGCTTGCAAGTACGCTATGTAGGGATGTGATATTCCTGATTCATGGTGTTTAGACATCGACGAAACTCTGAACCGTTTTGATCATGCGGCGATAGTATAGGAAACCATTGGTATCAGATTGGGCTATCAATAACTGCTATGTCGGAGGACACAACTTTATCGATTGTTTATATGGTCTTTGATGTTGGATGATGACCGCAGCCCCTCTGGCCCCATTTCCAATAGCCACAAACCAACTTTCGACTACTTTCCAGACCACGTTGTCCCCATTCAGGTTGATGTCCAGCCCACGCATCCCTCCTAGGTGCTGCCCAGCCTTTGGCTGTTATCCAGACTACCTCCTATTGTTGCCCAGCCACCGACACATGTTCCAATTGTTGTCCAACCCTTCAAGGACACCGCTCCCTGCTGTCGTCTAGCCTACAACCCTCTTCCAGCAACCGCAACCCTCCCCTATAGCCACCACCCTCTTCCCGCAACCGCAATACCTATCCTACAGTTGTCAGCCACCATCCATGCCTCTTCCAGCAACCGCAACCATTTCCCAGCGTCGTCGTTCCCTCCTGCCACCTGCCCTTAGCCGCATCCATCTTCCATCAGCCGCCAATCCACCCTCTAGCAGCCTTTGTCCTCATTGTCAGCAGCGGATATCTTTTATTGTTTATGTTGTTTGTATTTGTTTGTTGTTACTTCATGCATGTCAATGGTCATGTTTGTAATCCGTTTGGAATGTAGAAATACTATGTATTTCTGTTGTGGTTTGGGTTTCCTCCGGTATCAGGAGAGGCTTTTTCATTCATTTAGATCAAAAAGTATATTAAAAAAAAGCAGCCCTACCGAGTTCAAGTTCAGTTTATAATGTAAATGAGAACAGGCAGATTATGTACCTTTCTGCACTTGCTATTACAAATCCTTCTAGCGCCCACTTAGAGTAGCATAAATTAGTCAAAACTTTTGAATTTCTTTGCTGTGTAGCTATCAGAGTTAAGACAACAGGAAGAAGTGCAGACCACTGCAGAAAGAAAAATGTTGTTAACTAAGACAATAGTTGGAGATCGAGTAAAATGTTAAAACAGTCCCCTAAATATTTATGTGAGGCAATTTTAGTTCTAGAACCTATAAAAGGGTCAAATTAGTCCCCAGAATATTTTAAATATGGCAAAAGTGGTCCTCAGTTGGGACTATTTTAACCAATATTAAAAAAGCCTAGGGGCAAAATTGACACTTTATAGACTAATACTAAAATAACCTCGTGCAAAAAGTCAGGATTATTTTGACATTTTTCTCATTATAGATTAAGTTTCAATAAACTCCATACTCACTAGTTGAGCAGAGCCTGGATGGAAGCAAATGGCAAAAATATAACCAATTCCAGTGACACAGTAGACTAGTGCCACCAAGATGACGTAGTTGTCCAATATTGATGACCTTGGGTTGTTGAAGAAATAAAACATTGAGAGGTAAACTATAGGCTTAACGAGAGTATTGAAATGGTCAATGGTGTCTTTCGACATAAAATAAGCCAATGAACTCATGCCCGATGATCTCTCTCTCCAATAATGCAATTTCTCAGGTGAGAATGATCTCAAAGCTCCAATCTTGCATAAGAGAGCTGTAAGAAATGCAAATTTTTTAATTGTTAAAAATTTGTTGAAATGGAAAGGGTGTGCTAGTTTCATCTGTTTTTTATCACATGACACAAATCAAATTTCAAGAGGACACCCGTACTTTATGAAAAGATGCAAAGAAGCTAGCTAGATATCAGCCCAAATTGATTTGATTTGTTAAAAATTCTAACAATAATTGAAATGGTTGTAAGAAATAATATAATTGAATCAATTTAAAAAGGCATTAGAGTTATCACAATTATTATCGCAATCCCAAGTAAAGCAAATGAAAGCAAACTTGTCTACAATCATAAGAAAATCTTTATTTTCAAGTGTAATAAAAAAATATCATAGTATTTTCATTTCTTCTCTGCTCCACTTCAACATATCATTACTTTACACTCAAATACACACAAATCTTATAGCTGTTTGAACAAGGTTTGCCTTGAATGGGATTGAACAATGATGAAAGCAAACCTTCGTAGTGAGCAAAAATTACAAATGATCGATTAAAATATCAAACCATCTCTGCTACAAGAAAAAAAACAGCAAGTAAAAGAGACTTGCTTAAGACATGAATTTAAATCAAATTAAACCAACAATACAGGCTTGAGAAGTTAGGGAAAAGTTTTCACATAGTCTAGAGCAATCAACAGAATTATGACTTCACAAATGGAGTATCTAGAATCCCATACAAGCAATTATCTTGATGCACTAGAATCTCTAAAAACTACGTAAACCACAATTCCTGCAGTAACTTACACCATTGCTTGCATATATTATTTCTAGAAAATGATTAATCAACTAAACCATAAAACGTTGGGAAAATAATCCTGACAATCATAATTTCCTAGAGTGATGTGCAACAAATCATGTTTCCAGTAAGTTAAGAATAACTGAGTAAATAATTCACAAAACCTTGGCATATCTTGTTGCGAATATGGAAACCAGTCCACCATTCAAATTGACATTTTTTCATGTTTGACAACAAATTGGATTTAATATTCGAAATTAATTGCTCTTAATTCCTTCTATGATTTGCTGCAGAAGAGAAAAAGAATTAATTAATGGGCTTCATTAATTATTTAATTAATTTCTTAATGGGTCCAATGACATGATGATATTAATAAATAGATATACTAGCTACCATTGTTATCTCTCTCGGGATTTGGTTTCTCAGGCTTCCTCTTCGGTGTTGGTAGCTTTCCAGGTTCTTCTTCTGGTGTGCTTCGGTTTGAAGCTCTCGGGTAAAGAGAGAAAGAAGGAGAGGAGAGAGGTTGTTCTTTCTTGTAATCGTCGAGGCGATCGACGAGTGTAATCCGCGAGTAATAAAATCCTCTGCAGCTCCGTGGACTTAGGCAGTTTGTCGAACCACGTAAATCTGTGTGTTTCGTTGTTTTCTGTATTGCGATTTTTCTCGATCCAGTTTTTCACTTTATTGCCGTCATTTTCCACAACAACTGGTATCAGAGTCTTGGTTTGGAACTGAGGGAAAGCGATGGTCGGAGATGATGTGATGACATCGGGGATCGAGAAGTTTAATGACACAGATTTTGGTTATTGAATGATGCAGATAGATGACTACCTCCGTGGGAAGAAACTTCATCTTCCATTACTAGGAAAGCAACAAAAAAAGATGATTCCCTGCCAGGGAATCAAACTTGGGAACTGACAGAACTTCCATCAGAGAAGAAAGCATTACATAACAAGTGGGTGTACCGGGTGAAGACTGCGCTCGATGGCAGTAAGAGGTACAAGGCTAGACTTGTTGAAAATGGCTTTCAACAGAGGTGGGATATTATCTATGCAGTGGGAGTTGTATGCAGAAACATGAGTAACCCAGAAAAGAGCTTAGAGGTACAAAGCTATGTTGATGATGATATGTCGACTAAGGGTGTTACTCTTGAGAAATTGAAGTTGTGCTCGACTTCAGTTGGTTTTCTGGCATAAAGACCGAGGCTTTGAGTTGCAGAGGTGGAGGATATCACGTTTGAAGAAAAGGGCAACGCAGCAAGTGGATGATGCAACTAGTGTACCAGTCTCAAAGTGGGAGATTTGTTGTGAATATGGAAACCGATCCACTATTCAAATTGATATTTTCTCATGTTTGACAACAAATTTGATTTGATATTCGAAATTAATTGCTAAATTAATTGCTCTTAATTCCTTTAATGATTTGCTGCAGAAGAGAAAAGGAAATAATTAATGGGTTTCATTAATTATTTGATTATTTCCTTAATGAGTCTAATGACATGATGAAATTAATAAATAGGCATGTTGGTTTCCCTTGTTATCTCTCTCGGGATTTGGTTTCTCAGGCTTCCTCTTCGGCATTGGTAGCTTTCCAAGTTCTTCTTCTAGTGTGTTTCGGTTTGAAGCTCTCAGGTAAAGAGAGAGAGAAGGAGAGGAGGGAAAGAGAGAGAGAGATAGTTCTCGTCGAGGCGATTGACGGGTGTACTCCGCGAGTAATAAAATCCTCTGCAGCTCCGTGGACGTAGGCATCTTTGTCAAACCTCGTTAAATCTCTGTGTTCTTTTGAATTTGTGTCGATTCTTATTTTACTTCGCCCTAATTTCTCAACATATCTCCTATGTGAAATTTACAGTTGCATGTAATATCCGAATGTAATAGTTCATATCAAAATGTTTTAAAGCATTTTACACCAGTTAGTTATCAATCGACATTAATTATTGAGAGCTGCAAAGCATGGATGATGTACTTCTCAAACTATGACATGTTTTGCAAATCACCAAAGACAAAGAGTGTTGATAAATATGCTGAACGGAGAAACTGTTTATAGCTTCTTCATCATATTTTATGAGGAAACTTAGGTCTTCAAGAAAATTAGTAACTAATGAATAAAGAGATTCAACAATTAGGATGACAAAGAGTTCTTAAGAAAAAACTTAAATTCACTTACAAACAGCAATGATAGTATATGTATAGCCAGATGCTCCGAATGATTCATCACTCACTTTAGCAAGTGTTCCGAGGCAAACTCCAGCCAGGCCTAAAATTAGAAAATCAATTCCTTGTATTCTAGCCTCACGCAGGCGCTGCTTACCAACCCTGCAAACAGAAATATATTGGATGCAATACATAAGTATGATGTAGAATAAAAAATCAATCAGCACTTCTACATCAAGAAAAGAAAAAACAATGACTCCTACGAAGCAAATGTTCAGTTTGGCATCATGAAGCAAAACACAGGCAGTTTATAGTGTAAATTTGTTCAAAAAAATTACCTTCCCAGGAAGTATCTGTATTGCTGGAGAATGCCAGGAGTGCTTCGACTAGATAAATCTTTTGCTTTTGATAAATTATGCTCTAAATGTTCTCTTCTAAGCTGAAATTCATCCTTGATACTATCCCAGACTTCCCCAGCAGCTGACTGCTCACTGCTTCCGCCAGAATCTTTTGCTTCCCAGTCCTTTCCCAGCATGTCAAGAGTACTCAAGCTCTGCTGCATGTCAGGGGGTACATCATTTCCATTCGATAGCATCCACCGAAGGGGGAGTTCTCTAACTTTGATCCCCGGTGGCTTTACTATGCCCTCTAAGATATCAATGAAGTAATCTGGAGGATTCACACGCTCAGGAACATCAATCCCAAGGCCATAGAAGTAATCTTCGACTTTCTTTACAGCCCCAAGATATACAACTAGACCACCTTTTGCTAGCAGTACCAAGTCATCAAACATTTTGAACAAAGTATAGCTGACATGGAAAATTACGCTAACATTACTCCAGATTATAGGAATGCTTGAATTTACATGTTTAATAGCCTAAAATGTCAAACCAATTTAATTATATAACGTTGGAGGAGGATGAACTAATTCCATGATGCTTCCAAAAGATAATACAGTCATGCCAACGATGGTAATGATCTAAATATTATAAATTAGTTCATTTCCTATGGTTGATAGGCTATCTTTATTTGTATCCTGCTGTGAAGATCTAATTGTTCATGTGATAATTTCGCATCCCTTATGTAAATTACAAGGATCTGCTAAAGAATATGAGTGTATCCAGGCAAGCCATTGTTAATGTGCCATAAAGATGGAAACAACTGTCAAAAAAATCACCAACAAGTACACACATTGCATCAATAACTCAGCAAGTACACACAGTACCATATCACCAACAAGATCAAATTGTTCCAAGTGGCTTTACAATTAGAGACAAAATACGAAAGTGTTGGTGTAGCTCCAGTGGCAGACAAGAATAGAGAGAATCATTTTAGATGGTTTGGTCACATTACATGCCGACTATCTGATGATCTAGTTAGGAGAGTCGATGTTTTAGATCCAACTTATGCTAAGAAAGTTAGAAGTAGACCTAAAAAGGCTTGGCAATTTTGTATCAAAATGATCTTAATTTATTAGAATTAAATGAAAATATGACACTCAATTGAACACGATGGAGAAAAAGGATTCATGGAGCCGACCCCACTTAGTGGGATGAAGGATTGTTGTTGTTATTGTATATATTTTACTTGATAGCAAAATTTTTTAAACAAATATTTGGGGATTTCAGCACTGAAGCACGATACCAACTTGAATATTTTTTTATTTATAATGGTGGTTTTGGCACCATATTTGGGGATATCCGCATGATTAAACAGTAAGACAAAAAATGTGCTTAAACAGATGATCAATCAAATCGTAACATGTGATTAAACAAAAGATCAGCAAAAGAAAAATATAAAGGAAGTAAATAAATAATTCAAAGGTTTAAAACTAAGAGACTGATTGCAATGCTGCATGCCAATAATTTGAGAAAAAATCAGTCTTAAAAACATTTCAGCCTGTCATGGTACAGGCTAAGAATGTGCTGCAAACAAAGGGTAACTTTTAAATCACATCTAAGAAGGCATCTATTTACTGGTATGATTCATTGTAATAAATTCAGCTATCCTTTGAAGAAATAATAAATAATTCATTAAAAAGAATAAGTAATGATGAATATCAAAGTCTACCTTGGTTGATGGACCACCATACAAATGTTTACCCCTTCAAGCGCCTCACGACGAAGAGCTCTTAGAAGCAACTGAGATGAAGCGCTATCCAAACCAGATGTAGGTTCATCCAGTATCAGCAATGAAGGTTCCATCACCATTTCAAGCCCAACATTCACTCTTTTTCTTTGGCCACCAGAGATTCCACGCTTTTCCACTGTCCCAACAAGGCAATCTCGCACAGATTGGAGTCCCAAAGATTCAATTACCCTTTCCACAACTAAAACTTTATCAGCCTTTGGCATGTCCGCTGAAAGCCTATTAAATATATAATTTTAATTGAGTTAATAACCAAGACAATTAACAATTACCAACTAAAAGGAAAAAAAACAAAGAATGCTATTTCATATCCTTCTTTTCGATTAGAGGCTAGTAAAGCAAAATGTTATTAGTTGTCTGCTAAAAAACAAATAAGGCGAGCATTGAAATTGATTAGTAATGAAAAGAGTTTAGTGTGGGAAGGATGATGAGAAGTTAGAAATAGTATAGGAAAATGCTGACGGGGGAAAATTTTCATTGCATTAAAGGGATAACAGACATACAAAAAAATTAGAAACAGATAGACTCAAAAGTGCAAAAAAAAAATAAAATATTTCAAAAGGCACACATCGATGAATGTGTCAAGAGTTTGTAACCAATGTGCCATTCCGAGGAAAATCAACTTCAGATCCCATGTTTCAGGGTTCACAATAAATATGATTGGAAACTTAATGTCATTTCTAGCAGCAATTTTTTTCTGATTGGAAACTTAATGTCATTTCTAGCAGCAATTTTTTTCCTTTTCAGCCAAAGATGCATCCACCATCATTAAAGAACAAACAAAACTACTGAACAGCTCCATGTGCAACATAATGGCCAGAAGGAGGAACAGCAGCAGCCGTACCTGAACTCCTTAGCATCAAGTTCGTATGTTTTTCTAAGCCAAGTATTCATGGCCAGAGTTGCATTTGCCATTAATTCTGATTTTACCATTACCAAAATCTTCTGAACAAATCATAGAAATGATGGCTTTATCTTTCATTATCGTTCCTACCGATTTCACATTAATTTTACTTCCATTATAGCACCCAAATGACACATCTCTCTTTTCTAGTAACCTGATGAGAGTGTGCCACAAAATGAAAAATTTCAACGCAAGAAAATGGCAGTCAGCATAACTTCAACATTACATGGATGCCAATTTGACAGTATAATCACCTCCACTCTGTGAGAAAATGAATTTATTAGGATACAAAGCAGGACAACAAATGAAAAATACATGAGTGGAACAATGCTGTAGGTTCAACACTTGGACTGTTGATAGTTATTATAATTGTTTCTCCATCACAACTCTACTGCTAACATTCTTCAGAGCAAATCAAATGCAGTAATATCATGGCTCTGATACTAATAACTGACAATGTGCCCTGTTTTCCACCAACTGCTGGAGTTAACTTGTTCAAATTTCACTTTAAAAGATGGTGTAGAATTATAATGTAGGAAGATAAATCTAAAAGAGGAAATTGTTGACGCATGCATACAAAACCATTTGCATATAGTATACCATACCTGCACCTTGCACTGAACCATAGATTTTCTTCTACTGTCAAATTTCCATGCACAATGTCGTCTTGTGGCACAAAACCAATGATTTTCTTATACGAGCGCATAGGTTCTGCTTTACCATTTATCAGAACTGAACCACTCACATCACATCCTGTAGTCCTCCCAGCCAAAGCACTGAGAAATGTTGTCTTTCCTGCCCCTGATGGACCCATAACAGCAGCAACACGACCAGGCATTAGTTTTCCCGTGATATTCTTTAGAAGCTGCTTTCTACTTCCTTTCAGTGTCAGGGTTAGATTCTTAAAAGTAATTTCAATTACAGGCCTAGTTCTTATTTTAATATCAGTGGCCAAAGCAACCACTCCTGAAAAAGTCAAATTGTTGGTATTCTGTTGCATTGCCTTTTCCTTTTCAATTTGACCATATACATACTTGAAGATCTGGCTACGAGTTTGCATTTGCTTTCCTTTGGTCGTATCATTTTTCAGATTTGTTTCACCTATATGCATATTGAAGCCTTCACTGCTCTCAGGGTAATCCTCAATTGAATGCATCATTTGAGCAACATTAATCAACTCCTCATTCATTGATGTTGATGGTTTTGAATGTTTTAGAGACACATCTGAAGCATTTTGGTCAGATATCTTAAGAGATGCCTTTCGACGGAACGTTTGGGAAAGTCCATGTGCATGCTTCTTTGCAAGAGCTTTAGCAGCTTTCCACCTCTCACGAGCTTGGACTGTTTCTCTGGCAATTCTTGCAGCAGCTTCTCTGGATTTGGCTTCTCTTCTCTCTCGGATGGTTAGAAATTGGCCAGAAAAGCTGTATATAATCAATAAGACCAAACTCATAGCAACCTATAGAAAAGTATGGAATGATCAACTACACATCTCACGAAGTCGCAAATCAACATTAAATTTAGCAATAAAAATATAAACATTCAAGAATAATAAAAATCACTCTTCAAATCATAAAGATGTTATTCAAGTAGAAGTTCAGCATGGATCTTCGAGACAAGGTCTAAGGTACATTACGCATGCAGAAAACAGGCACTTTTTCTTAAATATGAATTAAGTGGATAAAAGTCAAGCATCCACATAATCAATAAGTGATTGATGTGACACGTTTTACCTAAAATCAATATACTTTGACCATTTCATGTTTTAATAGTCAGATTTAATCTAATATTTTGTATAATTTCTCATCTTAATATATTCAAGCTCGTTGCTCATTTTTCACGAGAACCATATTACAAAAACAAATATAAATGGGCCAGTAAAATATAACGAGGACACTGATATAGGACACCGTTCTAGATACATGTATGGGATATTATTCAACATGCTCATTTAACTTGTACAGTTTTACCAAATTTATTTGATTTCATGAATAGACATGTCACAATAAAAAGCTAATTTTAAGGATAAACTTTAAACGTGAATCTATAATATTTTGATGAAAACTAATATGCAAGCCCGTAAGTAGGCATCTTGGATAGCATGCATCCATAACAGTTTAGAATTATAGGTGCAGAACTTGAATTTTTAAGCTTATGAATCAGCTCTATTCCATTCATTTAGTATGAGATTTGTAACCGAATTACAATAAGAGAATATCTTAATGTATATAGCAGACCCTTTGATTAACACCGTCTCTGGTGACTAGTGCTAGATAGACTTAACCGTAAAGTTTAGGCAGCACATTTGGAGTCATAGAGATTTGTTCTCATGTCCGTGTTGGTCTTGAGAAAACTTTTTCTTAGAATTCTTAATTATTTTTCTTAAATAAATTGGATTAAAGAGCCATTTCTAGAAAAGAAAAACAAAAACAGTCGACTTGATTTAAAATCATCCTCACAAGGATTTTAGAATGTTAGATGGATTGCCTGTGTTTCTTGAGAAATAAATAATTAGGCTGCAAAATGAAACAAATTCAAGATATTGTAAAGGTAAAGTGACAGGCATACCATTAACAAAACACCGAATAGAGTGATATTTTGATTCACAGAATTTGGTTTGCATGAGTTCTTCCTGAAGCACCCTGCATAATTATGCCAATGATGAATGTAAAAGCCATAAAAATAAGTTGGGAAAAGAAAACGTTATTGAAGATTCTTCCAACTATAAAAATAAATATAGTAGCTAGCTAAATAACATGTTATGGAGTGAATAAATACACATGTTATATATTGCGGAGTGCTGCACCTCGTCAATTTATAAGAGGCGAGCATACCATAAAACAATGCTAGAAATGTTTCTTCAATAATTCCAATAACTTTCAATTTACTAACGTCTAACTCACAACATGCTTCATGTTTTTTACAAGCATGGGAAAAAATGTAGGTTTCGCATCCAATATAGAGAAAATTGAAAAAAAAGGATGCTTCTAACCTTTAGCCAAAGAAGGTTTCACATTAACAATGGAAACAGTAGAAAGAACGTAATTCTCCAAAATATGAAAAAGACAATTAAAATTTCACCACATTTTTACATAAGACAAATGTTACTAAAAATAATTATAAAAAATTCTACATTTTATTAAGAGCTATAGTAGTTCTAATAAAATAAATCATTAATTTATTCATTTATTCTATGTTATAACTAAATTAATGGTTCAGTAAGTTTAATTCAGTGTAGATTCATTTATTGCGCCGAAGCAACTTTTTCCACTAGTCCGTACATGCAACAGCTGATGATGAGGGCTGCGATGATTTAGCTAAGCCGTAGGGAAGAAACGAAGGGAAGAAGAAAGAAAGCAACTTCAAGGAGAGGAAAGCTAAGGCAGAATCAGACTTTTTATGTTTTCTTCAGCAAAATTGAGTTTGGAGTTGAGTTGTAAGACTTGAGGTTTGAATGAATAGAGATAATTTCGAGTTAAAAATATTATTTTGAGAATATTTTGAGTAAGAATTATATTGTTAAATAGAAAATTATCATAAATTAAGAAAATGAGGTTATTAGATTGTCAGTGAAACATCAAAGTTCCGGGGTGTCGGACGTGAGAAACTTCACCACAATATGAACCTAGGATTTATGTTGAAATACACAATCTTTAAAAAAGAGAGCAAGTGATTCACATAATGAGGGAAATTTAAACTATTAAAATTGTACAAGCATATAAATAAAAATTTATGCGTAATGAGCATTTTAATGATATTCAATTCCATTAAAAATTCAAATGCAACGCGCATATTTTCATGTTAAAATGATCCTATGTTAATTTGATACTGTGAAAGTCTTATGATATAAACAATGTCTATACAAAGATTTATATGTTATTCAAATTGTTACATAATGATGTCTCAATTACAAGTTGATACGAATTAATAACAACATTTGCATAAAATGCTAAAAATATTTATTATGATGGAGCTAAAAATAAAAGAATTTATGGAAAATGTTATTATAAGAGATACCATGACAAATTATGACGACTTGTATAAAAAGCGGCGAAAGTTCTAATGAGATTAGTCTCAATAAGGGTAAAAAGGGGTTCCCAACTCACAAATTTAGGAAGTTGGTATCATACGGTCCAAAGTTAAATCAAATGGCCATTGATAATTGACATGTTAAAATAATTTCAAACTTTATCACCGATTATTACGACCGATTAGCTAAATCATAATCAATTGATACAAATGTATCAAACGTTATACGAATATTATATGATAATTCTAAGATTACAATCATATCAATAAAAAAGAATAAATAAAAGTAATTTCATACAATCATGAACTAGCATAGTGCACTCAATAATTTAACACTCGAAAAATATATGTTATCTCACTACTGACATTTATGTTTACTGTTTATGACTATATCTTTTACTCATGCAATTATCAAAGTATATTTTAATTCAAACTTGCTACACTAAACAAAATATATCCATAATTAATAACGTGAATATTAATACAAAAAAATCAACAAACATATTATTAATTTATTTTCATGCGTTTGATATATATACATATATATATATATATATTCAAGCCATTTAAATTTTAAAATGTTTGCACATAACTGGAAAGTACTTAAACTGATAATAGCATGAATCTTATTGCGCTTGCACAAATCTTAAGTTATTTATATCCAAGTCAAACACTATCTTAAGACCCATTAAATCATGAAATCATTCAGGAACTTGGATGTTTATGTGAATATTTAAACCTTGGAATGCATACAAGAACTCATTTTGAACTTTGAAAGAGTCGCATTTTGTCTAACTTGCAAATTAGAATTGCATATTTGATGTTAATATTTAATTTTGAAAATGTCATTGAAATATACATATGAATCTAAAAATCAATCAAATTTTTAAATATTTACATGGATGCCATGACTTTAAACAGCATGTAAAAATTTCATTTTTAACTTTGCACCCAACCCACACGGTACAACACACAAAAATGTCAAAAAGGGTACATATAAAAATAAAAAAAACCCAAAACCACCAGGGCGAAACCAAAACCATCAGGGCGTGGAAAAAGTGAGGGTCATCCCAATTTAGTCATGCCCAACACACAAAAAAAAGTCAAAAAGGGTATATATAAAAATAAAAAAAAACCCAAAACCACCAGGGCGCAGAAAAAGTGAGGGTCATCCCAATTTAGTTTTGCCCCTGCCTCTAATTCTAGGAAGGGATCCAGCTAACAAATTCGTAAGGTGTGTACCATTAACTGAAGTAACTAAAGTATCATCCATAAGATTCATGAGCTCTAGTAGATCTTCATTCTTCTTCTTCCTCCTGAAAGTCTAAACATGTCATTCCTCTTCCGAAGAATTAGTCTGATGAGGTGGTAGAGCTGAAGCAGAAGGATTACCAACCGTAGTACCCACAATAGGTTCTAATATATGTGAAGTATGAGTTGCCTCTACACCGAAAACTTCACCAGATACGTCCTGAAGATGGGGAGCTGCGAGGTTCTCCTGATTATCAGTCTGAACACTATCCTTTATAGGCAATAGTTCTGCAGTATTGTTTTCTATGGGGTTTGAAGGTGTCAGGATCACATCAATCGCAGTAACAGTAACAGCAGTGTCAGAGGGGTTCACAGGGGCAACACACCTCATGTTTGGTAGTATTCTCCCCAGGTGAAATTAAAATGTTCAGAGAAGTGGGGTTAGCCACATCCTTATTCACTTGAACCTTAGATTTCAAATTAGTATGGAGCTTGTGCATTTGTCAAGGGTATGCCCAAACATCTTACAGCGGGCACAATATGGAGGTCTGTGTTCCATGACGATTTGTTGTCAATATCAATTATGAGTTCTGCTCAGCCAGACTTCAGTAACATCAGGTAAAGTAATATCCCTTTCCACAAGTATTCTGGTCACAGAAGGTCTGATTAGATTGAAAGTTGGTAGATCTAGCTTCATAGGGTCCCCAAGGATAACCCCAGTAGAGTAGAGAACTTAATGATAAAAAAGTGCAACTTGAGACCAAGTAGACTAAATCATACCGGTACAGTGGGAGGTTCATGATTTGGGTCAAAATCAAGAGACCACTTGAGTAACTTCATTGATTTGCCTGCGATATTAAGATATTTCTTGAAGAAAATCCGAATGTAGTTTTCAGCCACGATTAGTTGAATCAACACATGTCTCTTATTCATGGGTCTCACTTTTCACTTGTCTACTAGTTTAAGATCATTAACTCTCTTTCTGATAACTTCTATAGGTGGGTGCCCCAACTGAAATTTTCCAATAATAACAAAATTGAATTTCTCCGTCATTGTTGAAATTTCTAAGTCAGAGAAAAATATTTTTGTTTTCCCAGCTTTCCTACTTCCCTTCTCAACAAAAAGGCAATCACCTGTACCATCACGGCAATCCTTATAACTCGAGAAGAAGACAACCGCGGACTCCACCTGAGGGTTACCCACCACGTGGGCAAACGAGGCTTTGTCCGGTTCAACCAAAGAAGAAGGGAGTGCCATCAAAGTAGGGAGATCTGTCGGCGTTCACCTGCTGCGAGGTCCCCGACACACAGACAAAACGAAGCTAGAGAATCTGTCTGGCAGGGCGCAGCATCGAAAAAGAAAATGAGCAGAATCTGCGACAGACGCCGACGCCTCTTACTGCAAAGTCCTGTTATGCAGCTGTAGGCATCGAAACAGGCAAACGAGAAAGTGCGAAGCAGACGACGGAGAAGACACGGATGCAAGCCGCACATTCGACTCAGATGCAGATGCGAACGTGCGAAGCAGCCGATGCACGTTCGCGAGAAGCAGAAAGATGCGAGCCTCAATCGACATCGAAGTAGACAACGCGAGCCGAAGACGATGGAGAAGACGCTGCGAGGAGAAAACGACGCAGGAGAAGACGCAGCTATGATCTAATGCAAAAACACCGTAACAGTTGCTAGGGTTCGTCGTGAGTCGAAACCCTAGCAGAGCCGATAGCAGGAGAAGACGACGCCATTAGATTATATATATATATATATACCTTTTCAATTTCAATAAAATTAGCCCTCAGACGTTTGTGTGTGTGTGTGTGTGTGTGTGTGTTAATTATATAAACTCTTCGGATATTATTAAGGTTATTACAAGGGAAAGGAGCATATAAGATTACAGTTAAGTGATCCAATTTTATCCGATACCTTAAGTGTTTTGGGTGTAGAGTTTTGAATGTATCATAGGAAAAAAAACGTACACAATGAAAATTAAAGATTGCTGGTATTTATTAATCATATAAGAAATTCAATAGAAGCTCTATAATCAATTTTGATATTTCAATTATGCATGCTTTGGTATTAACAATAATGATGAATCTATTAAAAAAATTTGATATATAGTGTATGTATGTAACGATCTAGACTGATTAGTTTTCAACTCGATTCTTATTAATGAAGTTAAGACATTTGCTAGTAGAAAATTTGTCTAAGTGAATTGTTCGTCACTACTATGCCATGGGGTCAAAATAGGGACAAAGAACTCGGGTAATTCTAGGAACTATAACATGAAAACACATAAAAATGATGCACATATGGCTAGTACTTCAAAAAGTGTTCTTGAAACATTTAAAATTATACCTCACGAAATT